AAAGGAACTCCAAGGGTGCCAACAGCCTCTGCTGCCTACCCTCTGACTCTTTCATTCCGGCTCTGGATTCTGCCATATTAAAATATTTCTAAGTTGGGCACCATGGCACACACCTGTCATCCCAAATGACATGGGAGGTTGAGGCAGGACAATCACATGTTTGAGACCACCTTTGGCAACTAAGTAAGACTCTGTCTCAAAATAAGAAAATGAAAAGTGGTCAAGTGTCCCTGAGTTCAATCCCCAGTTTGTTTATTGCAGTATTAATTTTGATAAAATATTTAAAAATGTAAACATCTAAAGTTTCAGCGGGCCAGGAATAAGTAAGTAAATTATGTAATGGTATATTAAGTAAGTACATTATGTACTGGCACAATATTCTTTGCCCCTCCAAATCAGCCCCATCTACTTCCCTGATATTAACTGGTACCATTGTCCCCACTTCTTCACTATACTCTAGCCAAACTGGACTCCTCACTATTCCTCCAGTATTCCACCTTGCTACTCTCCTGGAGCTCTTGTAATTACTGTTCCCTCTGCCTGCAACACTCTGCTCCAGATCTGTGCATAGATGCTCCTGCAAATCATTCAGGACTCAGATCACATGTCATCCCTTCAGAGAGGACTTCCCTAAATACCCATCTTAACTTGCTGCCCTGATCACTCTTTTATATACACTATCTTATTGCACCTGTTGCTCTAAGATTTACTAATTTACTTGCCTACTTCCTATCTTTTACCTATCTTCCCTCTCCTAGAGTAAAAGCTCCATGAGACTGTGACCACATTGAGAGAATTTCTGTTCCTAGTCAGGATAGAAAAACAAGGACTTCAGGGATTTTTTTTATCTCTTACCTTAAATATCTAAAAATCTGGACAAACTATATGACACAGTGGTTTCAGAACTTGGATAATTGCACAGGATTGTGACCCTAAGAGAAGAGGAAAAAAACCACGGTGAGTCCTGTGATTGCCTTAGCTTTGATGCTGTTTCTAAGCTGCAGTATGGGAAGTGGGGACTGAACAGAGCCTGGGGGTTTCACTGAATTGAGAGATTGGAGTCCAGTTGAGAGATTGGAAGGCAAGATATCTTGAATTTGAGAAAGCATATCAGAGAGGAGGGATCTGCCCCAAGAAAATCTCCAAGGAACTACAAATGGAGTCTTTTTTTTTTGGGGGGGGGGTCATCTGCTACAAATGATGGGACACATTTGAAAAAATTATTGAAATACTCAAAATGACACCAAAGTCATCAGTAATTTCATTTACAGTTATTGCTAAAATATAAGCTCTCACAGCATCTACAATAACCAAAGAGCACTGAATTTCGGTCCTTTTACATCCCCTTGTGGAAAAAGCCTGTTTAGTGACCCACAAAACCATCTCTCCATATACCTGAGTCAAAGTTCTCAGGTGTTCCAGCCAACATGGAAGTTTTTGGTTGATTTGTTTATTTGTTGGTGGGGGGAAGATGGGTTGGCTCCATCTTATACTATTCCTTCCTTTTTCTAGAAGGAAGTTTGCATCCCTCTCTAGATTCATGGCATGCTTCACTTGACTCGGCATTCTGATGTACACTAAATTATACTAATTCCTTTTTTAAAAAGATCTCTACACGTTAGCCAAAATTTGGAAGTGCCCTGAAAAGATCCACAAGAGTAGAGAATAAATAGGAAACAGGGTGCCAGCCCCAGGAATCTCCACTTGATTTAATTAAATCTGATATAACACCTGCCCACCCGAGGTCCAGGACCTGGGCCTATATGGGTCATACAGGGTGGGCTCCTGTCCTTAACAGAAGCCTTTTTCTCACACACTGTACAACTGGGCTGGGACAGGACCAGCTAAAACGGAGGAAACCATACATGTACGTCACAGATGTGTGTTCTCTTCTTTCCCTTTGGGAAGATGTTCTCAGGAGTTATTTGCCAGGAAGTTGGTCATTTCCTGACCAAATGATGAGGTTTCCGAAAGACATGAATAGCTTCTCTTGCCACATGGAATTGGCTGAAGATGTTCCCACGTGCCAGAAGGCAGGCCACGGAAGGGCCCTTACTGGTATCAGGCGAAAGAAGAGAGGCAAATGTGTCACGGAGCTTGGAGGCAGAGGCAGCCAGTGCTGGAGCAGAAACACAAGCTGAGCCCACGGGGCCTGTGGGCCAAGCACAGAAGGGTCTGGAGAGCAGCAAGCCTGGATGAACAACTGCCAGAAATGTGCCGAGTGTGGTGAAGCCCACGAAAGAAAAGAGCATAATAAATGATGAGCAAGAGCAAGAAAATCAGTCCAACCTGAGCGTGCAGAGATACGATTGGGACCCTAATTCCATCTCCTTTGGATATCTATTTAGAAATGAGATTGCCGCATCCTGTGGCCATTCTATTGTTAGTTTTTTGAGAAAGCCGCCATACTGTTTTCTGTAATGGCTGGGCTGACATCCCACTAACTGTGGGCATGGGTTTCCTTTTCTGCACACTCCTGCCAGCGCTTGTTATCTCATCTTTTTAAAAATAGCCATCCTGATAGGTGTGAGGCCATATCTCCTAGGGGTTTCAAATTGCATTTCCTGGTGACTAGTGAGGTTGAGCAATGTTTCATATGCCTGTTGACCATTGGTATGTCTTTTTTAAAGAAATGCCTATCAGGTCCTTTCCCATTTAATGGAATTATTTCTTGTCATTTGTTTTGTTTTTTGCTCACTTTGTACTCTTGCTGTTAACCTACAATACTCTAAAAAATAAAATCAGTTGAAGAAGATCCTCACCCCCCACTAAAAATTTTGTGAAGAAATAACTAAATGCTGGGTTTTAATAAGTCTCCCATGCAGAAGAACTCCAAGTAATTTATGCAGATACTCTACACTCAAGGTGGAGGAGCATAAATCTCTACTCCTTTCATGTGAGCTGCATATAAAGACTTTCTTCCAAAGAGTATGTAAAAAGGAGAGGGAGTAACTTTTCAAGAGAAAAATTTGACAAACATACCTCAGTCCGGTGATCAAGGTCAATATCAACAGTGATAAATCACATTGATAGCATGGACCCTTGATATGATGTGATAACAATGGCACTTTACCCCTGTGATTTTTCCTCCTTAAAACCCATGATCCCAGTCTAATCTTGAGAAAAACATCAGACAAATTTCAACTAAAGAGCTGTTCTATAAAATATCTGATTAGTACTCCTCAAAACTTCCAACATCATCAAAAGAAAAAAAAAATGAAAATCTGAGAAACTGTCACAATCAAAGGAGCCGAAAGAGAGATGACAACGAAATGCAATGTGGTATCCTGTACAGGATCCTAAAATAAAAAAGATTAGTTAAAAGTAGAGAAACCTGATCAAGTTTGGATATTAGTTCATGGTAATGCGGCAATACTGGCTCGTTAATTGTAACAAATGTACCATATTCACGTGACACGTTAATAATAGGGGAAACTAGGTGTAAGTACATGAGAACTCTCTGTTCTTATTAGCTTTGCAATTTTCTGTAAATCTAAAATGCTTCTAAAAATGATTTCATTTTTAAAAAGATATTGATCACACTTATCTTTTTTCTTTCTCCTTTGCCTTTAGAAATTGTGTGTCCACACAAATATGGTGGGTGAAACACTGAAGGCCCGCACACAGTGGGAGCTTTAAGGGAGGGACAACACTTACCAATTAGTGATTGTATCTCATTAAATGTCATATATGTGATCTCAGAATAAATGATCACACTGGTCAGCATTTATTGCAACCTAAATATTCCCTTCGACTATGGTGGTCTAGTGGTTCAAGGCCACAGTCCGCTTGGGCTGCCACAGCAAAATTCCATAAGCTGAGTGGCCTCACAGTTCCGGAGGCTGAGAAGTCTGAGGTCAAGGTGCAGGAAGGTACGTTTCAATCTGCATCCTATTCTCTGGGCTTATAGGTGTCTGTCATTCTGCTGTGTGCTCAAATTTCCTTTTCATTGAGTGCACGTGCAGGGGTGGGGAGAACTCTTTTCTTAAAGGGCACTAATCTCATTAAGAGAGCCCCACCTTCAGGAAATCATCTAACCCTAATTACCTTCCAATGGCCCCAACTCCAAATATCATCCATCACTCCTGGGATTAGAGCTTCAATTTATGAATTTGTGGGGGGGAGGGGAAGACACAAATATTCCGTCCATAATAGTGGTGAAGGCCCCCAGAATTTGGAGTCAAACAAACTTGATTTGAATCCTAACTTTGTCTCTTACTAACTCTGTGACCCTGAACAATTTACTCTATGCCTGTCTGTGTTGCTGTTTTCTCTCCTTAAGATGAGGGTTATTAACAATGCCAGCCTTGCAGGTTGTTCTGAAGATTAAATGTGGCAATATGAAGTGCTGAGAATAGTATTGGAGCTTGCTATAATTTGAATGCATTCCCCAAAAGTTCAGGTATTGAAAAGTGAATTCCCAAAGGCATATATTAATAATATTTGGAGGTGGGGACTTTGGAAGGTAGTAAGGATTGGATGAGGTCATGAGAGTTGGGTCCCCATAAGGGTGTTAGGGACTGTAGAAGAAGAGGAAATTCAAACCCAAGCTGGCATGCTTGCTTTGTCTGACTCTTTGATGCCCTCTCTTAGGTTATGAAGCAGTAAGAAGATATCACAGATATCTGTGATATCACCAGATATCACACTGATGCTCTTGAACTTCCCGGCTTTCAGAACAATGAGCTAAATAAATGTCTGTTCTTTATAAATTTCCCAATCCCTGGTATTTTGTTATAGCAACAGAAAATGAACTTAAAAAGCATGTAAGTATCAGCAAACACTAGCTATCATCATCATTATGATGATGTAGTTCATGAGTTCCTACTTTTATAAAAAGTAGGAACTTTTTATAAAAAGTATGATAGTCTGGAGAAATACTGCAACAAACAATGGGGAAGATTTTAGAAAGAGCAGGAAGGATCTGCTCCAGTGTTTTACTTTCTCTGCAGATGTGCCCGTCAGAGAGCCAGCTACAGTTGACCATTTCCTTCCTTTGTTCCTTACCTCCTTTGTCTGACTGGAATTTTCTGTCCTTGGCATGTTCTGACTTTTAACTTAGGGGAAAGGATGGAGTTGCATATTTAGCTATATAATATTATTATAGTTCCACCCTCGTATTCTTTTTCAGAGGCAGAGAATATATAAATAAAAGCAGACATCTAGTAAACATAGCACTTAGTTATACATTCACTTCTATTTGAATTCCAAGTACAATTTTAACTTCTAAATGAATGCCTACTTTTGTTCTATGAATCATTTTGATGGTTATTTTATTCCTTATCCAACATAGCATATCATAGTTACTGACTACATTCACCCTTCAGGTAGATGGAGAGAGCTTAGCCCCCCTTCCATCATAAATTTGTGCTCTTGCATTTTTCATTTTCAACTTGCTACCCTTATTTTAATGCTTGGTATCATGCACAGATTGTATTTAAAAGAAATTTTTTTAGTTGTGGTAAAAGATATATACCATAAAATTTACCATCTTACCCATTTTAAATGTATAGTTGGATATAGACTGTATTTTTATATTTAATGCTTGTTTTGTGGATCCAACTGCATTTAACTTGTGGATTTTGTAAGTAATATTTTTTTAAAAATCTGTTTTGTTTTGTTTTGTTTTTCCCCAAAAAGGGCAAAAGTCCTTAGATGCCTAGTAACCATACCCAGAGAGAGGCTGTGGAAAACTGTTCTCCTCTTTCCTTCTCCTCCTTCTCTTCATCCTCCTCCTTCATTAAGGTTCAGCTCTATTCCACAGTAAAAGACTTTTTTTTACCCCAAAGGAAATCCTAGTAGTTTAGATAATGGTAATTTCTATTATAAACACCCATAGATGACTAATAATGCATTCTCTTCTCTGATAAAAATTCTTGTATACAAAGATAGACATCTCTTGGGTTCTCTCAACCCTCTGGTGAGGAGAGAAGCAAGTGGGCCCAATGGTGTTCCAGTCTGGACAAGGAGGGAGCCAGGAAGGAGTCATGAGTGGAGTCTCAGGGCATGCTGGGAAGAGGAAGCAGAGAGGCCCAGGGTCATGGCTCCCAAAGAGGCTGCTCTCCTCAGCTCTTCTTGATGACTCTCTGTTCAGCTCATTGAGCCACAGTGACACATCCAGCTCTGCGTGGGAAGCTCCTGTAGCCTAGTCTGGAAAGCAAGGTGCACATACAAATGCATTAACAATCAGTTCAAGGCCACAGTTAAGCATATCAGCAAATGAATGATACAGATAGGGAAAGCAGCCTTCCTGTAGCTGGAGAATTAGAGAAAGCATCTTGGGAGATGCAGGATTCTTTGTCCACCTTGAAAGATGAGTATATTTCTGAAGGAAATCTATAAGTAGAGGAAGTAGATTTGCTAGAAAGTAAATATATAAGTAGAGGAAGAAATAATCGTAGCAAGTTGGGAAAACCTGTATCTGCCAAACCATTTCACTATTCATTTTCTTCATCTCCTGAATTTCACTTGGTTGAATTGGATTTTGCCATTTTGCCAACTCTCCCCAAATCCCTAGGGTGACCTACACAGCATTTGCCTTTCTATATTTCTATAGATGACAAACAGATTTTCTTTTCACCTTTTTGGGCATGGGCTTCCTGGGGTAGAGGTCATGGTTGTGATGTGCACTGTGTCTGGGAAAATTGCAAGGAGTTACTCCTGTCTCCAGGTTAGTTTAGACTTCTGTTATGGGACTAGTGCTCAGCAGTGATTATATTTTTAGATATCTCCAGGGTGCCTGTGACTTGCTCATCGCTCATTTCGGAGGGTCTCCTTTAGTAGTGACCTTGAGTTTCTCTGGAGAGCAATCACTGTTGGAGTTTCCATGAGTGGATTTATGCAACCACAACACTGACCTCACAGCACCTGAGCTCAAGTCTGGGCCCTGAGGGTGTTGATCAACTTCGTAGTCACTACCAAGCCTCTCTAGTCTCAACCATTCATCTAGTTACTCAATTTATCCTGGCCTTGTGGTCTAGCCAAGAAGAAAGGGCTTCTGGGCAGAATGCCACTAGGAAGATTGTCCCCCATGGAAACAACGCACCCCTTTATTTATGGTCTTCTCCTTTTTCCCCATCAAATCAGATTTTGCTTTCTCTCACTATTGAGGTGGAGGAGACAAAGACTTGTATTTAATATGCAAAAGCAGTAGCTCACATCCAAATTGCTATTATCCCTGCAAAAAGGACTTCTCTCAGTGCTTTAAAATCTTTTAGCTATTTGCTTTCATTGCTTGGGTTACATTTACCTATTTTTTGTTGCAAGTTTTATATGTAATCACAAGGAAAGGGGAATTCTGTTTTCTTTTTCTAACCAGTCATCTCATTGAATTTTTATTTAAAAAAATCTACCTGGATGTGAAAATGTTTTCATGCCAAGAAACTGCAAGTAAATAATAAGACAGAATAAAGAACAATTGTATTTTATCTTATTTTAAAATTTTATTTTTCAAGATAGTGATAAACAATCACTGACATATACAAGTATAAAAGCACTATATACCTTGTTTCTGTTGGTTTTCTCATCTGTAAGTTTCCCTTTAGTTTAATATTCTGTGTTGCTATAGGAGAATATGGTGCTGTTTTTGTTGGAAATTCAAAATCTTACAAAAAGAGGATTAAGCAGGAGAAACTAAAATGTGTCCTGGAACACATTGGTGACCACCACTTAGGACCTCTTCCTATGCCACTATTAAGAATGGTCGGCATTAGCATCTCCCTGGAACTTAAAATTCGAAGCCAAGGATTGCAAACTCAAATGCCTCCAGTCTTTTGAGGCTGGTTAATGCTAAGAGTGTGAAATGGTGAAGAGAGAGTCCAGAGATGTGGAAAGTAATAGAAGCCACAGTCTCCACCCTGAAAGTACGTGATTAAATAAGCAAACAAATAAAAATTTTAAAAAACATAATGGTGGCCAAAACACATAACAACAAACAAATCTGTGGCTCTATTTGTTCCCCAGGCTACTCATCTCCCACTCTTAAATTATTATCCAGCTAGCGTCTCCATTTTTTTTAAGTTAAGAATCTGAGGTCCAGCTGTGTGCCCAAGGTCACACAGCAATTTAGTGAGGGACCAAGGCTGAGAACCAGGTTTCTTGCTTTCCCAAGTCAGTGTTCTTCCCTCTCATTATTTCCCGGCTTCCATCTGCTCCAGCCACAGAAGTTCACTGGTAGTTCAAACTCTGAATCAATGGGCCTCATCCAAAAATTGTTTGTAACAATATCTGTTTCATAAAGATAAAAGTAGATTACTATAGTTTGAATGTGTCCCCCAGAAACTCAAGTATTGGAAACTTGATCTCCCGTGCAACAGTGTGGTGAAATGGGACCTTAAGCAAGATGTTTAGGTCATGAGGGTTCTGTCCTCATGAATGGATTAATGTCCTTATAAAAAGAGCTTGTGGAAGTGAATTCATCTTTCTCTCTCCGACCCCACACCCCTCTCTCTTTGCCTCTCTTTCCCTTCCTGGAGAATGCAGCAGGAAGAACCTCACCAATGCCAGCACTTTGATCTTGGGCTTTTCCAGCCTTCAGAACTGTGAGAAAATAAATTTCTCTTCTTTATAAACTACACCATCTCACATATTCTGTTATAGCAACACAAGACGGACTAAAACATAGATACATGTTAAAAATCACTTTCAAAATGTGTTGGCATGTTATTAAATCATTAAATTGCTAATATTCTAGAACAGCACCAACCATCATTTAATAATTTTAAATGGTCTAATAGCTACATTTAAAAAAGTAAAATCAATATATCAAAAATATTATTTTTATAATAAGCATTAAAAATTATTGAGATATTTACTTTCTCATATAAATTCTCAAAATCTGCGAATATTTTATGCTTATGGCACATCTTATTTTGGACAGCCATATTGCAAGTGCTCAGTAGCTACTACACATGGCCAGTGGCTTCCATAGTGGATTATCTAGTTCTAGAAGGTGACTTATTCCATTCTTACCCTGCTCACAGCCAACCCAGGAAGGGAGAAAGTCTTCAGAGGCTTGTATCTTTCAAGGCTCCTATTGCTGGTTAATTAAATCCCTAAGCAACGGCTGAGTCATTTGCAACTGCGGAAGACAATTTAAGAAATCTGTCTCAAAGCCAAGAACATAACTCCCCACGTACAAGGAGGGGAGGCAAATCCTTTGGGCTAGATGCCTTGAAGGAGGAAAAGACTGCACTGAATCAGGTGTCCTTGTGTGGGAGGGAAGGAGGTAGGTCATTGCCAGGAGGAGGGAGGAAAGCAGAGAAGAGAAAGGGGGCCCATTTCTCCCCAGAGGGTTACTGTTTCCCTCCAGAGCCACAGAAGGAGGAGCTAAGTGATTTCCTCACTTGGTCCTCAAAGACTCTCCATGAGGCAGGTATTGTATCATTCTCCTTTTGTAGAGGAGGAAATCAAGGTACAGAGAGGCCATGAACTTGCCCAAGGATACATAGCTTGAAATTAGTGGAGTAGGTGCTCAGCACCCACGTCAGATGGACTTTCAACATCTGATTTTTAAACCCTGGGCTCTATTAGCACATTCTCACAACATCTCCAAATACTTCAGAGTATGCATGAACTTTTTTGCTTAAAGTGTGCACAAGTATTTGGTGTTTTCAGATAATGTATTATTATCTGCATGACTGAATGATCTATTTTCAGGGAAATTTTGAAATCTAAAACCGTATCAGTGCTTCCCAGTAAAGGGGTTGTTTCTTAATCTTTCTCTTTGTGATTCATTTTAACACACCCACTATTTCTGGGGGACTCTGGGCAGCAAAAGTCTACGGGGTCTGGGAGTAATAGGAGACTCAGATAGTAAAGAAGTAACAGATGAATGTCAGGAGTGCGGGGAGCAGGTGAGTGCCTATCCACATAGGTGTTGGCTTACCTGTGTCTTCTGATTTGGGATGGGAGAGGAGGGAAATGTCAAATTTTTTGTTTGTCTCAAAACATCCTATCAACCTCAGTCTTAGTGAGTTATTCCTACGAGATAATTTATTTTACCAGAGAAAAGTCACTTTCTCCACAAGACTGTTAAAATGAAGCAGGGCTAATGCAGCTAAGCCTGCCATCTCTGGTGCTGTATGGCCAGTGTTAAGGCCCTGGTCTGTGGGCTTCCAGCTGTGGCATCTTGGAAAGTTTACTGAAATTTTTCTCAAACTCCTCATTTTAAAACTGAATATAAAAGTCATTTAACCCAAAAGGGTTTTCAGGAGGATTAAATAAAGCGAGAGCACAAAGTGCTTGGAGGGTTGGCACTCAGTAATCCAATGGAGCACACAGCATGACTGAATGGCTCCTCGGCCCTTGCCCTTCACCAGGATCTCACCTCAGAAATCACTAGGAGAGTTTGTTAAAATACAAGGGCCCAGCCTTACACGGAATGGGAAACCCTGGGGGACAAGCCGACTTATTTTCCCAAGAGGGGGAGGGGTTGCAAACAAGTCCCAATTGTCCCCTGCCTCCACTGGCACTGGTGTATCAGAATACTAAATCCTTATCCTTGTGGTGCCAAAAACACTCGGAGGCCGAACAACGTGGTGGGAAAGGCATGGGCTTTAGCATTGAACTTTGGCCCCATTGCTTGCTGGCTATGTTAACTGGGGGAGGCCCTGGTCTCTCTCTGATCCTCAGTTTCCCCATCTGTATAGCAGAGATCATTATAGCTTTCTTTAAGTTTGAGATAAGGATGAAGTTAGGCTCAGCAGTGCCTAGTGGTCAGTCGATGTGGTCAAGAAGGAGTGCTCACTTCATTCAACCCTTTGGCCCTCTGAGAAGAGGGGAGGTAGAGTTCTGGCAGCCATGAGCTGTCTAGCCATGCAGCTGACATTGTATGGAACTGAATTTTCTGCAGGAGGAACAGCTGCCAGGACTTTGGTGGGCAGATCCCTAAGTATTGGTCTAGCCCAGAGATGTCAGTAGTGGAGAAACTGGGTGGGAAGAGATAGGCAGTGGAGAGGGGTCCCTACGTGTCTTCTTTACTGAAAAATGAATTCCTTTTCATTTCAAGTAGTTAGGAGCCTTAACTTAAGATGTATTCCCTGCCTGCCAGTGGAACAAAAAGATACCACCTAGGCTGGACCCTTTGGAAAAGGGAGATGAACTCTGTGATTGGAGGGAGTGGCAGTGGTGGTGTTCCCTCTCATCCTGCC